CTAACTGTCGCGATACCATAACATTAGCGACCAATAGGTTATTCTGTGCAGTTTTGGAAGCGTGAAAGAGGGGGGAGGAAAAATTACCTGCACCTAGAAAATTCGATGAATACGATACCTTCTTATGTCAGGTCTGAGCGCAGCTTCGTGTTGAATCAACACCAACCGTGTTTGAAGTTCCGGCTATCTGCAGTTCCATCAATGAAACGTTTTTTTACGTACTGCCACATAAACTGTCAGTGTTCGAGTGGTACACACCACTCTGCATTGCAGGCGTCGAGAAACAAGTGAATTGCCGGCATACCCGTCACGACAAACGAAGCCAGCCGCAGTGCACTTGCCAGTTGTGCATGCACGCGAGCTCCAACCAAGTGGCCAGCCAAAGCCAGTAGAAAAATAACTAAAGGGTGCTGGGCCAGCTGACGTGATGGAAGAATGATGCGAGGTTAGAGGCCATGCAGTGGCTCGGGATATCGATGAACTCCGCGTTCCTTCTCTTTCATCCTCGTTCGTTATATCGGTGACGCCGACGACGCCAACGGTGACGCCTCTCGACGTAGAATTTGGCGCCTAAGAGCTGTAATCTAAAACGTGTGGTGGTGTTCCAGCAGCGAAGATTTAACCGAAACCTAGAGTAAATGAAAAAAAATGTTGCCAGCAGCCAACAAAAGACTTGATTCTGTCAGATGACATCTTTCAATAAGAAATTAGTAATTAAAAAGGGTTGTGCGTACAGTTACCGAATAAAGGTTGATCACGAGGCAGTAGCTTTCAAAGTACATTAGCTGCTTTCGACTTTGGTCGACAATAAAGCGCAATAAAGTGCAATCGTCAGCCAGTTAGCTCGATTGCTAAATAGCGCGTCCTGAAACTGTTTGATTGATGCCAGTGCCGCGAAGTTTTGGGTTTCGTTGCCGACATGCTACTCGTGAATGCCAACATACTGCTCAAGTATGCCGACATACCATCTTGGCAACAGCACCCACAGCTGTGTGGCTGGCAACGGTCAAACCACTCCAGGTCACGCTGCGGAGCGTTAGAGTTAAGCTTGATGATGACTGCACATTCGCATAGAACGAGAGGTGCAGTACGCTCTATATGAGTATCTGTTATGCGATTCAATGTTCTTAAGAAATATGCGCCATTCCACCGAAAACCAAAATTTTAAAACCCTTTTCCACAGTAGCAGCCGGGGAAACGCCTGATACCGATACCGATTAAGTAAGAGAAGACTTGAGGAGAAATAGCACTGCACCTAGAAGTGCTGCAATAAGCTAGTAAGATATAGGAAATGAAGATTTATCAAGCTTACGAGAGTGGTATTGGAACTTATTCAACAATGAGGCAACTACGGCATGGTTCCCGTATCTTGGTTGCGCAACAATGACGCGCGCAACGTTATCAGCAACGGGACAAATGAAATTCACTTGCTGGTTCACCTATAAGGCTTCGTGTCCACATATTTCTCGTAATAGTCACTGTGCATGTAGCCAAGTGAAAATATTCACCAGTTGCTTTGATGTGTTCAGTTTGCTCACATGCGACGTTCTCGAAAGGATTCCACTTAACAAAAGAAAGTACCCCGGGTAGATTTTTTCCACAACTTCAATCCCGTTCTACTCCAATTTTTTTTTCCTGTTGCCTTCTATAGTTGTCGCTATCAGCGTCAAAAAGAGGAAATTTAAGAACAGGTTTTGCGGAAAGTGTAAACGGGGTCCTACATTGGGTCTAACTAGTACAGTATCGAGTCATTTTATGATTCAAAAAATTTTCATTGTCGTGGTGTGAGAGTGAGCTAATTTAAAAATTTCAAAGAACTTTGCCAGTCATATACTTCTGCCTTCTTGCAATGAAATTTGATCACTAGACTTATTTTATCCAATATATATATATATATATATATATATATATATATATATATATATATATATATATATATATTATATATAATATATATATATATATATATATATATATATATATATTTCATTTCATTTCATTTCATTTTATACCTTAAAGTCCCCAGGGGGACAATACATAACATATATGTAATGTATGTATATATATATATATATAGTCTTTGACTGTAACAATGTATACGACTGTGCGACTGTTAACACGCACTCTCAGTTACTACACCAGCCATGTGAACCTCCAGGAGAAAGGAAACTAGGTGCCAGTGATGAACCACGGGACATGCTTAGTATTTCGATTCATTCACATACGATGCTTGGCAAATCAAAATTAAAAAAAAGAACAAGCATAGATAGACGCGTACTATTCTTGAATCGGTGTCAATACGAAGCTTCTATGACTTGTTCAAGTCACGATGAACGCCATAAATAGGATCCACAGCCTCTTCACACGTGACATCAAGAAGCTGTCCTTCAATACTTGTTTGCCGCTCATTCACGGTCGAGGTGAATTTGAAAAGAAATGGGTCACGTCAGTTTACTGTCGCGGAAATTAGACGTTGGTCACGCCGGGCGTGAAGTCAAGGCGAAAAGAATTGACTCGCGCGCCTCGTATACGTTGGGTATGCGCTCTGTTCGAGAATTCTGTCACGCAGACTACGCTGCACGGTGTCGCTGACCGCCTCACTGCATGCATAGGCTTGTCGATGTGTGACAGCTACCTATGCTACTTGCGCGAATGTTGATGGTGGTTGTGCACGACTGAAAGTTTTTAAGTATATAGGTTGCGGTCTATACAACTGTGAAAGTACAACTTCCATGGCATCAGATTTACTGCACGTATTTCTTTTTACTTCTCCTTGCCCCTCGTAAGGGTAACAAATCGAAAGTTTCAATTCCAGTTCAAACTCCCTGCCTTTTCCTTTATCTGTATTCCTCTCTCCCCTTCTTCGTGGTCTTTGTTTGCATACAGAGTAGAGATAAACGCTCGATCGTTTTTGTGCTGACTATCAGAGAGCTTTTTGATAATTGGCTTATCATTAGAGCGAAAATTCAGGTTAAGGCTTTCTTTGTTTTAATTTATTTCATTATTTCAATAAGTTAAATGCTTACTAGAACGCAAGTGCCCGCATGTGTGTCACATTACAAATTGCATTATTTTTTTTTTATTAAGAAGCACGTAGCTCTGCAAGAAGTTTTGAAAGCGTAGCAAGTTTCGGTTTGCAGAAAAAGTACTGCTAGTGCAACCACTTTCGATACCCCAAGCTGAAAGTAACGAAAAAAAAAGTATCCCGACAAAAAGGAAGTGTAGGTTTGTTATGGACTTCCAATATTCCTCCAAGTCATCCTCTAATGCATGGCCGTTTGCCACTCAAAACGGCTTGTCTTTTGGCCTTTACTATGTTTGAGTTTAATTTCCAAATTTACCCACATTCGCCGCACCCACTAATATTGCTCAAGTTTCTGCGTTCATACTTGTGCGTGGTATTGATTAAAAAGCAAATCTTACGCATATCTGAGGCAATGCCTCAATACTTCAAATACTGTGGCGTATTTCTCTATACTATAAAAGGTAAAAATAAGTAATTCTAAGGAAATAGCTTTTCTTACGCTAAGCTGACAATGCAACGCTATGCTTGAAAAGGCGGGTGTTTCCTGCGCTTTGCTGAGACGATGCGGTGGTGGCACCAACACGCTGCGCGGATCCAGGCACGCAGCGCCTCGAAAATTCCATTCACAGACTTTCTGGCACACAACATCAAATAAATGTTTTATTCACTTTCCCCAACTTTCTCCAGACGGAACTTTATCGTCACTCAATGATATTTGCAGTGAAACATGCTGATACTGGGCCAATTTTTTTGTAGCAATACTACTAACAAGTAAGCTTCTCGTATCAAAATTTATGCGGTCATAAATAGCCCGCTGTTTTGACGCAACTTCAAGAAGCGATAGTACGAAAAGCTGCGTTCATTTACCGATATCTGAAAGCAATAAGTACTTCCTCTATGAGGTTTTGACACACTGTTCTTTTCGCCCGTAATTCGTATTCTTTTCCCCGTTATAAACAGTTATATAAGGTACAAACTATCCACAGAAAATCTCCTCATGCTCCTTCACCTCCGCTCGTAATAATGAGTTGACCTATCATCTTTTAAATGGGTCATCCTACTTTGAAAAAAAGAAAGAATCGCTGAAAATAAGGACCGAGAGGTTTAGAACAAAAAACTGGTAAAAATGGTCGTTTTTCCAAAGCAACCTTCAGCGAATTGCTATATGTGGCACTGGTAAGCATTGCTGAAAGCACAAAGTTAATGGCAGTTTCGTGTTTTACGGAATACCTACGAACATCATCAGTACAAAAGCAGCAGCTCTTTGTCCAGATGCTTCCTGAACGAACTAGATGTAATCTTATAAATGCAGATTTAAGCTGTCCAACATGCAATCAAGATTTAACGGGTTGTGTTATATGGACATATTTGTTAATTTTTTTGCATGACCGCAAACTACCCAGCATCACTGAATTTTTGAATATAGGCATCTGCGCTGCATGCAGAAAGCCAGTCGTGACGATTATTGTTGTGGTGAGCTGTAGTGAGTTTGGGAAGTGGAGAAGGAGCAATGAACCTCGTGTAACTCTCAAAAAGTGTTAATACAGACAAGGCCTGACTTCATCACTTCTGTAGCGCATCACAAGTAATCGTGTCGTTGACTAGCATCAGTCATTAGAATCACTCTATGTCAAGACATGAAATCAACATTAGCTTTCAGTTTTCTGGCGTTATGTGAAATGACTTTGATAAGTGACCGCGTAGCATCATTTGCTAAGTGCGTGTTCGTGATTGGGTTCCGAAGAGAGCACTTTTTGTTCGAATCTAACCAACACTCATAAGCTCTCTCAAAAGATGCCTGCTGCCAGGTGAATTTTCTTACCGAATAAAAACTGAGCGTAGCAAATCACCCATAACACTGTACGCAGAACTACAGTCACGCTTGTAGTTTTCTTACACATCTTTTCCAAACCTTCAATAGGATATGTGAAGAAGCCATCTTTCACGCATTGAGTTTCATAAACCAGCAACTCACCCTTCCTTTCTTATCATCCACGAGTAGATGCCGCCTACCCGGCCTTCGATGCAGCGCTTGACTCTCTCCGTACGTACCACACGTCAAACGAAACGACCGATGCCGATGCTTCAGGACAGTGTAGGCACCCAATTGGTCGCAGCCGGAGCGTGCGCGCGGAGCGCCGGATAGAGATGCCGTCAAAACGTCTGAATGGTCTCGAAGACGAGAGGCACGGTCAGCTCACACACCAACCACTCGAGTAGCGTCTCGCCACGCGATTGAAAGTGACTGCTTCCCAACGGGATCCTTGGAGTGGTAGCACAACTTTGCAGGACCACGAAGGGGAGCACGATTCACCGCGGTCCGACGCGCGGTGATGCAGCCACGCGACTGGCGGTCACAGAGGCGCGGATGAAACGCCCTGTTACTCCTGTTGGCAAAGGCCGCCCGGCGGGTCTGCCGCGGCGCTGGGTTTTCTATCTGGATCGCCATCTACGTTGGCACTGCTGGCCCGCTTGTTGGGAGAGGCCCTCTTCCCTGCCGAGCTCCTTTCTTGCTCGATTCTTCTCGCCCCGTACGAAGCCGCCCTTCTTCTCTTCTTACCTGGGCTATTGCAAGGTGAGGAGGGGTATCGTATACTGCGCCCAGCCTGCGACGGTAACTCTCGCTCTTCGGTGTGGTGGATGACCGAGGACGAAGCGACGTTCGTTGGCTTTCGCTGGCACACCTTCGTCGCCGGGCTGCTTTAGAACGGCAAGGCAGTCCTTTTCTCGCTTCTTTCCTCGCAAAGACAATACGGAATACCCTGCGTGCTGGATTGAGACACGCAGCTTCCAGAAGGTATTCTTCTGCGAGAAAAGCGAGGCGCGTAAGACGAGTAGGTCTGTGGAAAGACGCCACGTAGCTCGGCCAGGCTTCAGACAGACAGGTTCATTCACCGAGGCTTTCGTTAGTATTCGCTCATTTGTCGACGTTGACCTTGAGGGAAACGCGTTCGAGAAACAGGGAACAGCTATATTGATGAATGCACTGGGTAACTGGTTCAACAGCGAACATCGATCTCCGGTCAAATGAAAAATGAAACTTTGTGAACGTGCGTGTTTCCCTTCGATGGATAAAACAGCTGATTTCTCGGCAGGAGAACTCGCTGTACTCGGCGTAAAAAAATTGCGGTAATGCCAATACTGTTTTGAAATATTTCTCATTTACTGCGACACAGTTCTCCCACTGCCGTGAGCACTTGGAAATCACTGTTTTATGTTGTTATTACATATACTTCCCACGTCTTCCTCTTCACATCATCATACTTCATCACTCTATTTTCCCTTTCCTATATTTCCTGTGCAGGGCAGCAGAACACAGGAGAGAGCTCAGGCCGACCCCTCTGCTTTTTTAAAAGAAACTTTTCCTCTTTCTATCTCGTGTTGTAGTCACCAGAAAGCAAAAAAAAATATGTTAGATGTTACCATAACCGAGAAGTGTATTCGGGCTCATCCTCCTAAAACTAGTGCTCTGAGATGAAGAGGCCCAGTAAACAGCGATCGCCAACGGCATTATGGATCAACGGCTTCGTGGATATCCTTGTCAACGCATTCACCAAAAGGCAAAAGCTTTGACAAAAATAATTCCGCACACCAAACCGCCGACCAGCGGCCTGCCTAATACACCTCATTCCTGTTCACGCACCTCTTATTCCATAATGCGAACGAAAGAGTTGCTAGCAACATATGTACCAATGTACCATATTTAGGCGCGAATCTCCTGATAGCGGCACCCGTTCATCCCTTTTAGCCGTTGTAGTATGTAACAAGTATAACATTTTGACCTCCAAGGTAGTGCCGGTGAGAGATTTCTTCTGTGCGTTGTTGAACAATAAAAAATAGTGCTCAATGTACATGGCAATGGCTGCTAATGGGGAATGAGAGGCAGGAGCATTCGGCTTCTAGTTAATACGCACGCTGCCATCCCCATTAGCACCCATTGGAATGTACATTGAGCACTATCTGACAAGAAAGGGTTGCTACGTTAAACTCTCTGGGTGTAACCTCCTTAGTTTTAGCAAGGTTTAGCAAGCGTTGCGCCGCAGTGCCGTGATGACAGTGAACTAGTATATACCATGAATGAACTCGAGGTGGTTAAAGGTGGCTAGTAGATACGAAGCGCAAGCCGTAAGAAAGGAAAAGCCGAATTCTCCTGTCTCTCATTTCCCAATAGCAGCCATTGGCGAGTACATAGAGCACTATCTGACAGGAAAAGGTTGCTACGTTATACTCGCTGGGCGTAACCTCTTTGGTTTTAGCAAGGTTTAGCAAGCGTTGCGCCGCAGTGCCATGAATACAGTGAACTAGTATATACCATGAACTCGAGGTGGTCAAAGGTGGGAAGTAGACCCGAAGCGTAAGCCGTAAGAAAGTGTGCGTGTGCCACCTCTCGTTTAGTCCTTGGAATGTCCGCTGGATGATGGTGCTTCTATATGGGGAATACATGATGAAAAGATGCGAGATGGTGGTACTTGGAGTGTTGAATAGATGGACGAACGGACACACAGACAGATGGACAGATGCGAGGATGGACACATGAACGGACGCAGGGGCGGATGCATGGACGAACGCAGGAACGGACGCACGAACAGACGCATGCACGGACGGGTGGATGGACGCATGGACGGTCACACAGAGGGACGCATGAACGGACGGAAGCAAGAACGAATGGACGGACGAATGCTTCGCCCCACTCTCCATCATTCACTCCGTGGATATGCTGCCAATGTTTTTTCTTTTTGAGACCTAACTATAAATTCTTATTAAATAAAAGTTATCTTGCTTAACTACAAATCACAATTATTTCGCAAAGTTTCGGTCTCCATTTTTGTTTCTCTTCGCCAGCAGGTGGACTTCAAAATGGCCAAAACACCGGGGTCTCTGTGAAGGATCATCACTTGGAGCATCCATCAAACAAGCCAGTCGCACTTTGAAGAATTGCTTTTTGCACTGTGTCGTGGCCTGAACTGCCCGCCACCTCGGCGTAATTTTTGTCGACATGGTATATGAAATGTCAGGTCTACGGGGCGGCTCTTAGCTCTCCCATAGCAGAGCACCACATACTCTAAAGCGTCAAGTTTTTCTAAACACCAACTGGGACAACCCAAACAAAGCTCACCCATAGCCGAGTACTTCGCACTCTAAATAGTCGAACGTTAGCTCTGGATACCAGGCTTGATCGTTTCTCGTCATCATCACCAGCGGACCTCGCCCACTGCGTGGCAAAGGCCTCTCTCATGATCCGTCAATCAACCCAGTCTTGGGATTCTGCTATCCTTAACCCCGGTTTGTTCCCTCAGCTTCTCTGCTCTCTTCTTGTCTATTGAGGTTTTGATTTTCGTTTTCCAATCATTTTCCTTTTCCATCGCTCGCTGCGTCATCCTCAATTTAAGCTGAACCCTATTTGTAAGCCTCCAGGTTTCTGGTGCGTATGTATACCGGCAAGATGCATCTCTTATACACCTTCCACTTGAGGGTTAGTGGTAGATTATCATTCATGATTTGAGAATGCTTGCCGAATATGATCCACCCCACCTTTATTCTTCTAGTCATTTCTCTTTCATGGTTTGGCTCCGCGGTTGTACCACTCCTTTACAACTGCCAGCTACTTTCCACCTATCACAAAGCGCTCTTTTTTTGCCGAGACTGTTGTACATTAGTTTAATTTTATGTATATTAATTTTCAAAGTTACTCGTCTGCTTTCCCTGCCCAGTTCAGTTATCATGAGTTGTAGTTCGTCCTCTGAGTTACTCATCAATACAATATCGTCAGAGAATCGCAGCTTGCTGTGGTACTCCTAAATAACTCTAATCCCCAATTCTTCCCAGTCTAATGCCCTGAAAACCTCATGTAAACACGAGGTAAATAGCATTGGAGAGTTCGCGTGTCCTTGCCTTACACCGTTCTTTATTATAGTTTGGTAGCTTTCTTGATGGACGACTATGTTGGACGTGTATCCTAATGTAGATTTCTTCCAGTATGTTTGTACAGAAATCGACGATGCCCTGATTTCATAGTGCCTGCATCACTGCTGATGTCTCGATTGAGCCAAACGCGTTCCCGTAATCTATGAAGGCCATGCGTTGGGGTTCGCGTATTTCACGCATTTTTCTATCACTTGATAGATAGTATGAATATGGTCTACTGTGGAGTAGTAGCCTGTATGAAATCCTGTTTGGTCTTTTGGCTGGTCAAGCTTATAGTCGCCTTGATTCTATTAGCTAATATTTTTGTAAATTGTTTGTAGAGAACGGACAGTCAGCTGATTCAACTTTAATTTCTTAAGATCTTCACGTCTCCTTTCTTATGGTTTAAGGTGATGTTGGCGTTCTTCCAAGATTCTGGTACCTTACCCGTCAAGAGACACTTCGTATATAAGGTGGTTAGTTTTCCTAACACAATTTTTCCACCATAGTTCAGCAGGTCTGTTGTTACCTTGTCCTCACCAGCGGCTTTGCCTCTTCGCATTCCTTCTAGGGTGCTGACTACTTCTCTTGTCGCTACTGGCATGTCGAATTTCTCTGGGCTATTATTGCTTCTTATGATATCACCCTGGTTGTTTCGGCTACTGCATCGCTTACTGTAGAACTCCTCCGCCACCTCAACTATCCTATTCCATATTGGTTGTGGCACTCGCCTTCCTTGTCCCTTAATGGATACATCCTATTTTCACCTATGTACAAGTTTGCCTTCGCAGCTTTCAGGCTTCTGGTGCTTTTAGGGGCGAAGCTCTTTAACCTGTGGGTCGTGCGTCCTCAATGTACGCAGTTGTAGGTATCCACTTCTCGTTTAGTTTTGGAATGTTCGCTAGATTGCGGTACTTGTATACGATGAATATGCAAAATAGAGTATTAGTGGCAGAGAAGTGGACATAAAGGACAGAAATAGTGGGAAAATGAAGTCATTTTTCCGCAACAGGCAGAAAGATAAAACGAAAATTTATGTTTTTCTTTGTTTAGTAAGATCAATTAAAACGAAGTAGATAAGGGATTAGGCCAACATAAAAGGAAACATTTCTTTTTGTTTGTTTTTTCTTGTGAGCCTCGTGGCAGACATGACATTGCCCCGTTATAAAGGGGACACTCATAGCATCCATCCAATATATGATAAAAATATGAGAGATGCCGGTACTTGAAGTGTTCACTGATCAACCAACGGACATACGGATAGACAGATGTTCAGACAGACGGACGGACGGATGGACAGACAGACAGACAGACAGACAGACAGACAGACAGACAGACAGACAGACAGACAGACAGACAGACAGACAGACAGACAGACCAGACCAGACCAGACCAGACCAGACCAGACCAGACCAGACAAGACAAGACAAGACAAGACAAGACAAGACAAGACAAGACAGACAGACAGACAGAC